AGCTTCTTTGCAGCAACAGGAACAGAACTTGTCTGAGTGGGTTTCGACTGGACATCGCCTTCGTCATCAGAAGACTCGTCTTTCTTTGAATCTTCACGAGTAGACTCAGATACTTGTATAGATGAACCAGATTCTTCTTCCTCTTCAGTCGAAGATGACATGTGATTGTTCTCTTCCGCTTGCTTGGGTGCCATCGACAAGATCTGAGGTGAGAGGCCTGTAAGATTCTTCTTCTTATTCTCTTTTCCTGTCGCCGTCGGTTTTGTTTGTTTTTAGGTTTGGTAAGTGATCTTCTTTTTCTAGGTAGGGTTTGGTTTTTTTTTCTTTTTTGTTCGTTTCGTATATATAAAAGGGGGCTTTACAGAAAATATAATCTCAAGCCCAACAAGTAATTTACTACGAACGGAATGAGATACAAACCAAAGGAGCAAAAACAATACCCGAGGGAACAAGACCACGCACCATTCTACCCAACCCGAACTAACAAGAAGGATATTAGACCAAACCAATTAATGTTTGTGGAAATGAAGTCGGATTTAATTTTCATCAGCAAATCATATATTTTAAGGAGAATGATCGAAGAAAATCATGATTGGTTCGAGCTGGTTTAGGAATTTACAAAGGAGGTCCAACACAGGAATTTACAAAGGAGGTCCAACACTGGGTGTAAATAAGGAAACTCGTGCACCCAAATTTTCATCAGGACTTGGAGACCATCAAGGAGTATAAGAAGATTCTCTTTTAACCCAAGATTTCGCCCATGTTCATCCCAACCAACTGGAATCCCAAAACATGAAACTAAATCTACACTTACCTTGTTTAGGAGCGTTCATACTTATTGTTGATACATGAGTTCGATAATACATTTATTAAATAGTAAAGAGTCGAAAAAATTCTCGTTTATTGATGTTACGCTCGGAAACGGATTACAATCAGCATAGATAAAGTACGAAATAAGAAATAATGTTGAGCTCGGAAACTTATAGACTGACGAACCTTGTGTTTATGAACTGATTGAACTGAGTATCGAGGTCGGAGTAGTCATCAGAATCTGAGTGATAAGTGCTCTGAGATCAGAACCTGAGTGATAAGTACGTTCTTTAGTAAACTATTATCCAACGAACTGTTGTACGATTCCGGCGGAATGTACGAACATAATTCTTTTCTCTTTTAGTTGAGTTAGAGTCCTGAAAACCGTTAATTTCCAGATCCCTTGTACTCTCTCTAAAGGGAAAAACTAATGGATAATAGCAAATGTGGGGACCCCTTTTTATACTAGATTGGGAAGGTGGAATATGTTAGGGTTTCCATGGGACTTTGAGTTGGGCTCGAAATGCTGGCGGGCCGAGCTCGGCGAAATGGACTTTATAATGTTATTTATCAAGCCCATGCCCAACACTTATGTTCACAGTCAACAACTCATTGATCAATACTGCTACGTTTTGGAGGCATTCTACACATACAAAATACTCTCAAAACATGTATGCACCATTCCACACTTGATCATACATATTCAAAGGGGACCAAATTTGTCTATTTTGGAGTCTAGGAGAAAAAAACATGGTTTCGCTATTTAGTTACTATAACAGAGAAATGAAAAATATTGTTATCTAATCTATAGCAAGATTTCACCTGGGAACATCCGTGCATGAGAGGGACGGTTAGGCAATGGGGAAGGACTGGAACCTCTGATTTATTCTTAGGATCTGGACCGACCGCTTGCCAAAACTCGTCAACTGTGAAGTGATGATGCTATTAGAAACCAAAATGTTTCTACCGCCAATAGACCTACACTTGTAACTCTGCAAAAGATTTTTGAGTCAGTAAACAAAATCAAGGTACAACTCCAAAAAAATATGATTCAAACTTCATTGGAAAGCTAACTCAAATACCTATCAAAACCCTTGCGAGAACGCATAAAGGTGTTCGGATACCCCAACATCAGTCGGATTTCTTGCCCGCTGCAGGTGGAGTTTGAAATTGGATGCATTACATTACTTGCGCCATATGTACGATTGGAAGCAAAAATCAAGCGATAGGAAGAAAGAGCTGAAAAGATTGGACAATGATATTTGAATTCGATTATAGATATAGTAGTTTTTGCCAAAGACAAAAAATTCAGTTAGGAACATTGAATCTTAAGCATGGGGCAATTGAAGATGCTTTCACGCAAATGGTGGCTTATGTCAAATCTAAATTTTCAAAAAATTTACCTTTGTAAAACTATTTTTTCTGCTGAATTTTATTTTGAAATTATGTTTTCCTTATCAACCAAAGTATTAATTAAAAAAGACCACCATAATTGGTAATCTAATTAAGCGGAAAGTTAATTAAAAAGAAAATTAGTAACTTTCGAACGTGTTGAACACGTCAAACCGTCTGTCTTCAAAGTTTTTTAAAAAAAAATTCAAGACCAAAAAATCGAAGAAAACGACTGTATAGTTTCTTAAACTTGTAATGTCCGTGAACCAAAATTGAGAATTTTGAAAGGTTGATTTGAACCGGTTGGTTTGATTTAATCGTCGGTTTGGCGGAAAGGTTAAGGGAACCCTAGGTTTTGACTATATAACTCGTGCAGGCCGCCTTTGTGTCATTTTTGGTC